TGGATCCCCTTGTGCTGCCATTCCTAAACCAACACTTTCCCCTTGATCCCACTGCGCTGCCGTTCCCGCCTGAGGCTCCCTGGCACTCCTGGCCCTGCCCAGCCTCCTGCCCCGCTCCCGGTGTCACCCGTGACCCCTCGGGGTCCCCGTGGTCACTCCCTACCCCCCAGGGCAGCTCTGGACGTACCAGGTGGTCACACAGACCCGGTGGATGAGGCCAGAGGCGAACAGGGCCAGCAAGAGGCAGGTGAGGACTGCGGAGAGCCAGGAGACACACCATGCTGCAGGGCTGCCCCAGGTGATGGGGAGGCTGTGCCTGCAGCACCAAAATTTCCCCCAAACCCAGGAGAAGCTCAAGGGGAGCTGCCACAGTTCCAGGGCAGGGCTGGGACTGTCTGGTGCCACTGCTGGAGCATCCCCAGCCCTTTCACCACTGCTGTGTCCCCCCTGCCCTCCTGAGCTCCCACAACACTTACTCTCGGGGAATATCTTGGCCTGGAAACCCTTCCCGAAGATGAGGTTCTCCAGGTTGTTGAAGGCCTGGTTGTGGAGTTAAGGGACAGAACGGGATCCTGCTGTCCTGCTCCCATTTCCCAGCCTCCTTACTCCATCCCCACTCCTGTCCTCTGGACCTGCTCCCCAGCAGCCCCCCGGTCCCGTTGTCAGCCCCCTGGTCCCGTTGTCAGCCCCCCGGTCCTGTTGCCAGCCCCCTTGTCCTGTTGCCAGTCCCCTGGTCCCATTGTCAGGCCCCTGGTCCTGTTATCAGCCCCCTGGTCCCGTTGCCATCTCCTCGGTCCCACTGCCAGCCCCCCGGTCCCGTTGTCAGCCCCCTGGTCCCGCTGTCAGCCCCCTGGTCCCGTTACCATCTCCTCGGTCCCACTGCCAGTCCCCTGGTCCCGTTGTCAGCCCCCTGGTCCCGTTGCCATCTCCCTGGTCCCGTTGCCATCTCCTCGGTCCCACTGCCAGCCCCCCGGTCCCGTTGCCAGCCCGGTGGCCCCGGTGGCCCCGCCGTGCCCGGGGATGCCGTGAGGGAGCAGATGAAGAGCGCCGAGCCCAGCAGCCCGCCCTGGATGGTGAGCCACTCGGTGGAGGCCAGCTGCCGGCTGTACATCTGCATCCCGGCGAACAGCAGCAGCGACAGCAGCGACGACAGCGCCAGCGACGTGCCCGTGCCTACGGCTGAGCCCCGGGGCCGACTCAGCACCGGCACCGGCACCGGGGCCAGACCCGGGGCTGAGCTCAGCCCGCAGCCATAGGGCTGTGCCGTGCCCCCTTTCCCCCAGCCCAGCTGCCCCGCCGCTCCCGTTATCCCCGTGCCCCAATACCCTCCTGCCCCGTTACACCTCCATCCCCTCTGCCCCGGTATCCCCCGCTCCCGTTAACCCCGTTAACCCCGTGCCCCCAATACCCTCCCCGCCCTGCCACACCTCCATTCCCCTCTCCCCACTGCTCCATTCCCCCCGTGCCCCGGTACCGCCCGTTCCCC